TATCGATATCGGTTATCGGCTACATGAGTTTTAAAATATCGGCATATCGGATATCGGCCAAAATCCCAATATCGTGCATCCCTAATACGCATACATTTCTTATTTTCTACGTGAAAAACATTCAGTTCCTGGCACCTGCAGTGGAATACAGGATAAGATAAAATAAAATAACTCCAACAGTTACTAAATATATAAATATATACCAGGTTTATTTATAGATAATGGCTTATTCTGGTTCTACCAAAAAATTAAGTTGGTTAAAAGCTTTTGCATATTGGAGCTACGTTCAGGATATTGAATTTCTGAAGGGATGCATTCTCTACTGTTCCCTCCTTCCAGATAAAAGCTATGACTATGTTTTGGAGCCATCCCCGGTTGCCCTGCCTCTAATCCAGCCTCAGCAGACCAGGGTGGTCCAGGTGTCCTGTGGTCGGGCCCATTCCCTGATCCTCACCGACCAGGAAGGAGGTAAGAGGAACCATACAGCAGAAAGACCTCTATTCATGCTTTCCTTTCATATTTCCATCTGTCTCACAAACTTGCTTACAAACCTTCCACCACAACAATCCCGCCCCCTTGATAATTGACCAATCACATTCACTTTATTCACTCATAAATGGTCAGAACAGCTGCTTCCCTACTACTTTAAATCTTTAACTGCCTGGTCAACCAGATGGTTAATTGGTTAATTGCATTTTTTAATTGGAAAGGAAATCCTACACCTGTTCCCACTCAAAACAGACTAAACTTATTCTTTTCACCTCTGTAGCTAACTCCACTTTCATGTAGATTCAAACCAATAATCCATCAATTTTCCTCTATCTAATCTCCCAGTTTCCTCCTACAGAAACTAGTAACCAAAGCCGAAGCTGCTGCAGAAGCAAATAATTTGGCCGTTTTTCTAAATGATCCTGTTGCTTTCTGACTCCTTTCTGTTTTCTGCTGTCTGCCTCCAGTGTTCAGCATGGGGAACAACGCGTACGGCCAGTGTGGGAGGAGCATCATTGATGAGGAGGTCTACAGGTCGGTGGTTGCTCCTAAAAATATGTTTTCCACAGAGAAAGCACCTTTACCATGCAGACGACTGGATTATTTCTAAAGAATCCCAGAAAGAACTGTCCTTTTTGACGTAATTTAAAGGATTTTATTTCCTTGCTTCCTAAACTTGCTGCATGGCAGCAGTGCTAATGAGAAGGATCTTTAAATTAACATTATTGCCAGAGATAAATAATCTGCGTAGATGCAGTTTTCTAATATTTTCATTTATTTAGCCTGTCTGATGATGCTGCTAGAAGTACACTAGGAGACCGTATACTTTGTTGTGAGAAATGCAAGGGGTGGTTTATGATAAGATTTGGGGAAATGTATATAAAACTAATTTAGATCCAATAAATAAACATTAGAAAAGAGTTAGAATAATAAATGGAGGTGGACACTGTGATTCTACAAGAACATTTCTGGACATTATATATTAAAAAACATTAGAAATTATGTTACGAGTGGTAAATAAGTCAATCCCTGTTTGCATTTAAAAAAATGTTTAAAGGAATAGTACACCCAAAACATGATTAGCCTTCATTTTCTACTCACCCCCATGCTGAACAACACTCTGGAGTACTTTTTTGAT